ACGAATCACCCTGTATCTTAATAATGAAGCATTTTCGGACACGTGTTTATAGGAATTTTTTTTTCATATTTTGATGAGAGGAATTTCCTTTGAGCTTTTGTCACCACAAGTCTGAATCACCTTGTATATTTTGAATAATACGAACATAACCTTATATACATTTTACCCAAGTCTGAGAAATTATAAATTCGTATGCAAAACTATAAAAACATAGATAGTAGAATAGACTTGTGAATGAAAGTGTTTTTATATACTTATATTTTATCTATTTTGAATAATACGAACATAACCTTATATATATTTTACTCAAGTAAAATATAAATTGATCTATGTTTTGTTTGTATTTTTATTACTTACCGCAAACTGAAAAAAAGTACATAGTCGTATTATTTGTCTGTTTTTCATACAAAATCAAACAATAAAACAATCTTTTTTCCAAAGAAAAGCACGAAACAGTATTTCGGAAACACCGGAAAATATTCCACAACACTCCAGTGTACCAATAAAAATCTGGGACAAAAACTAACTTTAATATTGGATTATAAGTAATTGACTGTTTGCCTGTATTTACAAAAACGTTACGACAAGCACTAAAGGAGCAACTGCTTAAAATTGTTATGAGTCATAACTTATGACTATAAACTATATAAAAACGTCTTCGCGCGCCAAAACTTGTGAGTGTGATAATTTACATTCAGATTTGCAAGCGGGTAAGAGATAAAAAATCCGCGAAAAATTAGAGTTAGATCTACGAAAAATTAATTGAAAATTACATGATTCGCGCGGTATAACCGACCCAATTTTTTGTTTTTTCGGCATTTTTTTTCATATTCGTTTGATTAAAAAGCTACATATTGCATTGGTGGGGGCCCCTATATGGTGGGGGCCCTGGGGCCGTGGCCCCGCTGGCCCCATGCTAAATCCGGCCCACTAGAAGTTTTTACCTTTACCGTCCGTGTTACCCATCGTCGCGACGTGTTAACTGCCGATACGCCACTGTAGCGTTGAAAGATTGTTGTTCCTGATTAGTACCATAATTCCGTTCCTGATGTAATATTTACCTTTAGCCCACCTATGACGAATGTTATAATAAATACATTTATTAACCCAAAAAACACAATGCGGTTTATAGAGGGAACTGTAATGAAATATATTATATATATTAATTATATTTACATATAAACACAAACAAAAATATTGTCACTTATTAAGTATTTAAAACACAAATATATTCTGTACATATAAACAATACATAAGTTAGCTTGGCCTAAAGTGTTTTTTTTATTTTATTTATATTTAATACATTATTCTTTTTTTACAAGTTCGTTATATTTATCGCCTCCTTTATACGAAAAAGACGATTTTCCAAAATTGGAGGTAAAAGGATACAAATCTAATAAATTGTTGTTACGAGTATCATGAGCGTGTGTGTTACTTCTTATTGTAAAGAATATTAAAAATAAAGGCAGTTGCCTGAAAATAATAAAAAATTTCAATTAGCATTATGTTAAAATTTTTATACAAATCTGGGGTACTGTATCTCATGGGCAATGAGTACAGGTTTTTTATGGCCTTGTTTTAAAGAGTTTTAAGGGGCGCTATTACATTATTAGAAGTGGGAAACCATACTGCCGTGAGGTATTGAAGATGGGAGTGAATTATTGAGAAATATACAGATCTTAAATATTTGTTTGGGATGCAGTAGTTATTCATTCAGGTTCTCCTTGTACTCTCTCGCCCAAAAATGCTGCTTGATCTCTGAATATGTTGCCAAATTAAAAGACGATTGAAGGGCGTGTCGATAACTTTATATTCAGGTGTACCCGTACATCTCTAATTAGGAAGTGAGAGGGAAATAATACACTGATGTCATTAGAATCTGATGACAGTGCAGTTAAAGGACGGGAATTTAGGATTGCCTCTATTTCTAAAATTACGGTGTTTATTTCCTTTAATTCGTTATTAGCACCAACGAAATTATTACCATTGCCAGAACAAATATTGGCACATTTTCTTCTTCTTGATATAAAGCGACGGGGTGCTGCCAAAAATGCTTCGGTTGTTAGATCGCTATGTTGTAAAATTTCTCCTCCTTAATAAAGAAGGGCCCACAGTTACTGTTACCGTTACTACTGTAGTCAACGCCTAAATTGTAAAATGGTCTGGCTTGGCCTAATCCTAGGTAAATTGCCTATGACGTAATCAACTGCTACTGGTTTAACTCTGCGGTAACGTAAGCATCATTAAATCACTTTTCTTACCTGATTCTTGCCGTCAATGGGCCAGTACGATTGCCTGACATTATATAAAGTTGCTAGTGTAGTAGTATACTTCATTACAATTTTGAAGTCCCTTTCGATAATTTTGTATTCGTAGACAATATGCTTTTATGCGTTGTAACTTATTAAATGATAAGTATTGTAGCGAGGACGGCTCTGGATCTCGGAATGATGACTCATCGCCGATGAGTCATCGCCGGTGACTCAGCGCTCGAACAATCGAGAGTGTGGAGCTCGCTGGAATTTTCCAGAAGACTTGGGCGCTTAATATATAAGAAACGGAGCAGCACAGAGCAGTCAGTCCAGTTTTGGTACTCGCGTCGAAATAAATAAATATAAGTGTAAATAAATAAACTAGTAGTGATATAAATAATTAGTAGTTAAGTGTTTAGTTAGTTTTATAGTGTTTTAAGTGTAGTTAAGTTATTAAATAAATAGTTTAGTTCGTTAATAAACCAGTGCGTGTTTTAATTCACACTACGAACAGTTAAAAACGTTACAATTGGTGTCAGAAGTGGGATTAGTGTGAAACTTCGCGAAAATGGTTTCGTTAATGGACTTAAAAGTGGCGGACCTTAAGCGGGAGCTAGAAGAAAGGGAATGTGATACAACGGAAAAAAAAATGTGTTGCAGCAGCGGCTTCGAGAAGCGTTGGAGCAGGAAGGTGAAAATCCAGATACGTATTTATTTGAAGGCCAGTGTAATATGCATTTAATGTTGCAAAATTTAAACGAAAATATGTTGGAGAATTCTAACGATTTAAAACAGAAAATGATAGAAAATTCCAACGAATTACAACAGAAAATGTTGGAAAATTCTAGCGATTTAAAAGATTTACAACAAAAGATTCTGGAAAATTCCAACGAGTTGCAATAGAAAATGTTAGAAAATGTCAACGATTTAAAGGACGATTTGCAACAGAAAATGCTGGAAAATTCTAGCGAACTACAGCAGAAAATTCTGGAAAATTCTAAAAATTTAAAGAAATATTTGGAACAGAAAGTTGACGATGTAAGGATGGAAATAAATAACGTAAGGATGGAATTGGATACGAGAGAAGAAAAATTGAACGAGAAATTGGAGGTCAAAATTAGAGAAATAAATAGTAAACTGAAAGCTGTAAATTTACCTATGATGCTGACGGAACCAGGAGTAGTGCAGGAGGGAAGCCGAGTACGGATGAAACCACCTCAGTTCGATGGAAAAACTTCTTGGACCAACTACATCCGTCAGTTTGAGGCAGCAGCAAAAGCAAATGGCTGGCTACCAGAAGAGAAGGCTATAGCATTGACTCTGGCTTTACGCGGAGATGCAACGGACATCTTGCAGACGCTTTCTCCCAACGATCAAGAAGATTACGAAGCGTTGGTGAAACATCTCGAACTTCGATATGGCCAGACACATTTGGAACATGTCTACCATTCCCAACTTAAGAACCGCTGCCAGAAATCAAACGAGACTTTGCAAGAATTTGAGGCTGATATTGCACGCTTGGTTCGGCTAGCATATCCAGCTACTCCAACGACCGTTATGGAACGATTAGCGGTTCAAGCCTTTTTGGATGGACTTCGGGATAACGAAACAAGACAGGCTCTGACGTTGGCTCGTCCAAGCCAACTGGTTGATGCATTGGCTCGAGCTTTGGAATTCGAGGCGGCAAAGGAGAGCTGCAGGAGCCAACCTAGAATTAGGAGAGTCGAAGAAGAAAAAAAGGAAGAACCCAGGATAATTGAAGCAATTAGGCGAGTTCTTAAGGAGAATTTACCAGAGAAGAAGGAAATCCGGTGTTGGAGATGTGGAAAGCTGGGACATATACAAAGTCGTTGCAGAGGAAGTCAGGTGGCGCCGACTTCATTTAGAAGAATAAATAGGGCCGAAGAAAAGGATGTGTATATTCGCAGGACTACAATCGTAGATGATCATTGGCAATCCGCTGAGGTTCAACAAGACCAGGAAAGGGACCCGGATTTGAAGCTTATCATCGATTGGAAGAAGAACGACCGTAAACCAACGTGGCAGGAAGTCGCCCAATATTCGCCGAATGTGAAATCGTACTGGGCCCAATGGAATTCCATCATCTTAAGTGACGGGCTTCTAAAGCGCGTTCTGGAGATGTCAGAAGGGGGGAAAGACCGAAAGCAGATAATAATCCCCAGAAACAGGATACCAGAAGTGCTGCAGGAAATCCATGATGGAACTACTGGAGGACATCTTGGGGTGACGAGGACGATCGGAAGACTTAGGGAACGGTTCTATTGGGTCAACAGCCAACGAGATGTGAAGGAATGGTGCAAGAAGTGCGCCGTTTGTGCGGCAAGCAATGGACCCCAGAAGCGCCCAAAAGCCCCAATGAGACAGTACAATGAGGGCAGCCCATTTGAGAGAATTGCAATCGACGTGGCGGGTCCATTTCCGGAAACAGAATCTGGAAATAAATACATCATCGTTGTAATGGACTACTTCAGCAAGTGGGCGGAAGCGTACGCCTTGCCAAACCAGGAAGCTGCCACAGTGGCCGATGCCCTTATTAAGGAGTGGATTTGTCGTTTTGGTGTCCCAATGGAAATGAATTCAGACCAAGGCAGGAACTTTGAATCTATATTGTTCCAGAATGTGTGTAAGATTCTTAACATTCGGAAGACGAGGACGACCGCATTACATCCGCAGTCTGATGGAATGATGGAACGAATGAATCGAACGATAAACAGGTACCTTTCGAAGGTAGTCTCTGATCACCAAAGAGACTGGGACCGCTTCCTTCATCTGTTCCTGTTGGCGTACCGTTCTTCTATTCACGATACAACCGGACAGACACCCGCTAGCATTGTTATGGGACGTGAACTTCGTCTACCTTGTGACCTGAGGTTTGGTTGCCTACCAGGGGAAGATATTGCTGGAGAAGATTATGCCAGCAATTTACGTAGAAAAATGAGCGACATTCATAATCGAGTTCGTTTAAACATCCAGAGTGCCAGTGATAGAATGAAAGAGGCATATGACATCAAGGCGGAAAATGGAGGATTTCAACCTGGAGACCTAGTTTGGTTATACAACCCTCAGCGCCGTCGTGGTTAATTACCGAAGCTGCAGACTTCTTGGGAAGGACCATACGAAGTCATGGATCGCATAAATGACATCATCTACAGGATCAGAAAACAACCAAGAGGAAAGCCGAAAGTGATCCATTTTAACCGATTGGCTCCTTACGCTGGAAACAATGATGACCAAATAAACGACGCTAGAGTAAGGAGGGTTAGTCCGCCGGAAGACGAGCTGCCTTTTGAAGACTTCATGTATTTTTATTCGAGCGGTAAAAAAGCTCGGTATGGTGTCACTCGAGAAGAACAAAAAGATCTGTTCACGGTTTCGGCCGATTACTCCTTGGCTCACTGTGTTGCGGAAGACTTTAGGATGTCCAGGGGAATAGCGGTTGTCTTTAAAAACAAGTTTGGACGAGTTGACGAGCTACGAAGGCAGAATCCCAAAGTTGGAGAGGTGCTTGAAATTGTGGATAATGAGCAGATAGGCAATAGAAGTATCTTCTATCTGGTAACGAAGCAGCTCTCCCATCATAAGCCAAACTACCGTGACGTATGGAATGCCTTAAATAAATTGAGGGATACCCTTTTGTCCAAGGACATCATGAACCTGGCGATACCGAAGATTGCTTGTGGACTTGACGGTTTAGACTGGAGAATAATTAGAAGCATGGTGGAAGTTATCTTCAGATTTAGTGGCATACACATTCTTGTCTGTTGCCACAACCCTAAAAGAACAACCGGAAGGAAGACCGTAGACTGCTACTTCTATAGGACGTCACAATGCAAGTTTGGATCTCTATGCAAATATCGCCATGGAGCTGAGGACCATTTTCGGGACGAAAATGTTTTAAGACGGGGGCAATGTAGCGAGGACGGCTCTGGATCTCGGAATGATGACTCATCGCCGGTGACTCAGCGCTCGAACAATCGAGAGTGTGGAGCTCGCTGGAATTTTCCAGAAGACTTGGGCGCTTAATATATAAGAAACGGAGCAGCACAGAGCAGTCAGTCCAGTTTTGGTACTCGCGTCGAAATAAATAAATATAAGTGTAAATAAATAAACTAGTAGTGATATAAATAATTAGTAGTTAAGTGTTTAGTTAGTTTTATAGTGTTTTAAGTGTAGTTAAGTTATTAAATAAATAGTTTAGTTCGTTAATAAACCAGTGCGTGTTTTAATTCACACTACGAACAGTTAAAAACGTTACAGTATTTTAAAAGGGTTCTCAAAACTATTTACATGTCTCCATAGAGATGATTGAGTTGATTGTGTCGAAATACGATTAGCAATACTTTTAAGTAAATTAGGTGATGTGTTTATCCACAATCATAGAATCGGTAAAAAATGTTGATTGGTTTATATTTATATTAATTGTCGAAGTTATATATAGATCATCGAATAGGTTGGTATTACATAGTTGTAATCGCGAAATAGTTTGACTTGTTTTGATGGGTTTCTTATTCTTTAAAGTATTACAGAATGAATTATTTAACGGATGACGGTGGCGACATCTCTGTGTTTAATATCTAACAAATTTTAGACCGATACTCTGATGCACGTTTAGAATTGCATATTCCGCTCTCGTGAAAACGTCAAACTCGCCTTCGGCTCGTGTGACAAACTTTTTACTCGAGCGGAATATGCTGCATTCCCATTTTTTTAATATTAAATATTTCTAACTTTATTAACTTAACACCTGACAAATGTAAATTGGACACGACATTAATCTGTCATGTTAATTACCGCCACCCACTAAATAGCCAAAAAACTAAATAAAAAGGTAGGATTTCTTAGTACAATATGCTAACTTAACGTTTAAAATTATTTAAAACTTATATTGATTGAAATAATTATTCGAAAATATCGGAGATTTTGTAAAATTTTAAATTTTGAAGATTACTTAACCACTGTTTGAATAATTATTGAGAATAACAACACTTAAAATATTTTGTTAATTTTGTGTAATTTTAAATGTCAAAAATTATTTAAACATGATTGCAATTGAAACTCACAACCAACTTATTATTCCTAAATGCGACCCCCCTGAGGCGGGACAGGATTTCATAGTAACAGTAATACGCGATTTTTTTCGTTTACTTTTAGGGGGTGAACGATATTTTTTTATTGATCAAAAATGTTTGTTAGATTTTTTCGACGATTTCTATATAATTTATAAGAACATACATAGAATTTAAATAAAACCATAACATTAAGAATTTATGAATAAATAAAGGTTGTCGATAACATGTATGAGTGAGTAAAGGAATGTATTATTTTCTGATGAAACCCGAGGAAGGTAACCGAATTGGAGTATGGACGGAAAGGGAGACCACCAAAGAACCGCTACCTGCAGAGAAGTGGTGCCATATCAAGAGGAAGTAAAATGTTTTGGTAAAGCATTATATTCGAGAGAAGAACAATTGGTCCATGTTCCCGGTACGATGAAGAGGTTCAAAGAGGCTACACAGGTAATATTTAAGGTGTGGCCAGCTAATTATTTTGATATAAACACTAGAGAAAATGTCTGGGATTACTTGTTTACATCGCCTTAACCCTCCTCTTGCCACGCAAGAGCTGGTTCACGCTGTAAAGAGTTCAGCATGAGTAAAACATTCTGACATTTTTATCTGCCGGTTTTTATATTTCTTTATGTATTAGGTCAATCCATTTTGTTCATAGGATCTTCATAATGCTTTTGATAGTTTAAATTTTTAATAAATTATATCCATTGAAAATCTTTTGTATATGTTAGAATATACATATGTAATTATAGGTGATGTTTACTTATATGGACGAGTATATGCGTGTACAATGTATACTGTACATAATATATTATATACGAACATGTTGATTATCGACAAACGTCATTTATTTAAATTCCAACTCTTTTAAAATTTAGTTTTTTATTAAGAAAAATTATTTGACCGCTTGTTTTTAAAAATTTAAGCCATACAAGAACACACATATTTAAGCAATATATAGGAACGGTCAAAATAATTTTACAAACATTTTTGATCGTTCGAATTTTTTTATGATAAGCCCCAGAATCACCCCTAAAAAGAAGTGATTCTCCCCCAAATGAACTGCTACGATTTAGGAATAAATTTTTTTTGTCTCATGGGGTGCTAAGGAATTACCGGGCATTAATGAGTTTTTGGGGCATCGTAGGAAAACTGTTTTCTTTCCACCAACCTACGAATGAATATTTGACTGTTTACAAACATATAATATTATTTAACATATTCTTAGAATCAATTTTCTTTAAGCTGCATTAATTTTAAACAATGGGATACAAAGCAATAGGCCCTTTTCCGGATAATTGATTTCATCAATACGAGACAATTTTAAAAATAGTTTATTTATAAAAGCAGACGATTTCGCTCTTGGTTTAAAACATATATGTACTTTTACAATACGTCTATCACAAGCATATTAAAGTGATTTGGCAATCGTAGGAATATTTACCTGCATAGCAATATTTTCTTATAAAATGCTTACAACCTATTTTTTTATAAGGGAAGGTGCATGACTAAGTTTATACTTGGCCACTGATTTGTCACGTGACCTTCTAAATAAAGATTAACTCGCACGCGTTCTTGCACAATGGGGTGATAAAGAATATATAATTAGTAATGAGTATAAGGTTCCTAAAAATAAAAAAAGGGTATTAAAAGTCCTAAAAAAGTTACTTTGAATAAATGTACAATACAAAAGAAGGGAAGATAAAAAATAAACATAATTCAATTGTTCTAGATAATTTTTTACCTCTATTACCACTTTAAGACTTTTGTAATTGGAATTTTAATTGGCCAACCCAATAAAACAATAATAATCTATATTATATCAGTAAATAAACATTTAATACCATCAGATAACTAAAGGTGGGCTTGGAGAGTTGAATTAGGTTTTTTATTTTACGTTAACTTTTTTTACCCCACTTTGAAGCCTATTAAAAATGATATCTTAAAACTTAGGTGTTTATTACCTTTTTCTAAACATGCAAATCTATTAACAACATATATTTCGTAACATACCGTACCTAATACATTGGGATATTAATTGGACCAGATAATACGCAGTCAAAACTAAACGAAGAACTTTTAAAAATACTGTTGGACAGGTATGATCTGTCGTGACACAATTTCGAATTTGCCGACGGCATGTATCGGACACTTTATTGCTATTTTGTAATAGGTTTGTTAAACAGTTAAAAAAAATTTTTTTTAAATAAATTGTTATACTTTACAAGTTAAAAATAAATAAAATTTGCTATACTGTAGGGGAAAAATTTTATATGATTAATTGGATGATTCTGGAAAATTTATTTAGGGAAACAAGAGATCTTTTCTCTATAAAATACCCTAATCGCCCAATTCCTTGTATCAAAACTATTTCCTCTACTCGTGAAAATTTAAAATGAAAAGGCCGCCTTTTACCATGTAAATGTCACAACATTCCCAGGAAATAATGGTTTGTGCAATGGTGCAACAACATACCACTATTTCGGTTGCCAAACTTTCAGAAAACAATTGATTGTAGGGGCAAAATCCATAAAATATAAACAAATCCTACAAATACCAGGTTTATCAGGAAGTTTTTGATGATGACAAGTACCGCTTAATGGAATTTAGTGAAACTGTGATGGAACGAGTAAACTTTGGTCCGGAATTTATAAAAAATATTGTTTTACAGATGAATCCACGTTTGTCACTTTACGGGAAACACAATCCGTAAATTCTGCGGTACTGGTAAATGTATAAAACATAAATAATGCTTGTCAATGTATTAAAATAATTTATTTCTTATATATTTATACATACGTAACAAGTTGTTTTATAACAAAATAACAAACAAAATAAAATGAACAGACAACATAATCACAACAAAAATAAATTAGGTTTGAGTTAAAAAAATCATATTTTTTAAGTAAAAAAGAATAGAAA